TCGGTGCAAATTAGGTGTAGGCGCACCGACGCAAAGCGGATCGGGTTAATAGGAGAGATCGGACAGAATTTGGAAACTTTAAAAGCTTATAATTCCGTTTATACAAAACTTTTAGGTTCTCAAAGTGGTTCCATTGGTCTTGAAATTTTCTTCTGAAGGTACTCCTTAAAATTTGAGATGTGACGAAATAAACATCAAAATTGGCCGTTTTAGTCAATAATTTCATTTCCGACCTCTCTAATTGACTCGGCCCAGTGTGCGACGCCCGGAGAGTGTTTCAAAAATCGCGATAATTTCTACTTAATTTGGTCGATGTATGCCGATTTTAAACGATTGTGCACTTGCGCGAACGAAATTCATCGAATTCCATGTATTAGGAAATAGACCGCGCAATGCAACAAAAAATGTGTAGCTTTCCTCAATTTTACCGCAACGTATGCAAGAGTCGTCCCTTCTAATACTGCCGTGCTAAGGAAAAACGCCGTATGAGCCTTCAGCCATTGCCAAACCTCCATCGACAAATCATGAATTTCCGGACAAATTTTTTTATATTTTTCCCCGATTTTTTCAGAAAATTATGTTCTTAATTCTCTTAATTCTCTCAATTCTTCTTAATCTAAAAAATCTGAAAATCTCAAGGGAAAATACTCATAACTATCTTCTAAAACAAATACTTTCTAGGAGAAAATTTGGCGACTCTAGAATGTTCATACGGCGTTTTTCCTTAGCGCGGCAAAGTAGCAGTTATGCAATACACACACAACTTTTTAGTCCAAAGGCGATAATTTTATTTTACCATTACAACATATTATATTGTTTTTATTGCAATCTGTGATACAATTTAAAATTCCCATAGTAAGTACGTGTAGTACGCACGGTGGTAAATCAATTAAGAATAAAAATACGTATTTTCACATTTCTCTTTAACTTAGCCTAAGGGTCCATGCATGCGTGGCAGCAGATGCACATTACCTGGCTCCTGGCTCAGGTCCTTGCGGCGACAGGTCACAGCGATAAGTACGGCACGGCGATCTGCTCCGTCGTAGTTTTATTGGCTGCGGGGTCAGTGGTGGCTCTGTGTTCAGCATTGGCTCTGTGTTCAGTAGTGGCTCTGTGTTCAGCAGTGGTTCTGTGTTCAGCGGTGCCGCTGTTTTCAAATGCGGCGCTAGCGAGGCCAGGGACGAGGGCGAGATTCGGTGTTTCCCTGCAGGGGCTCGGTTCGCCGTTGCAATAGTTGCGTTCGCAGATCTTGCAGGCGTCGGTTCGGCAAGTCTCGAGATCCCGCTTGTAGACGCAGGCGCGGGAAGTGAGCATACCGGGCTCGCAGCGGGTTCCGCAGAGGACGGTCATGGGGCAATTCTGGGTGGGGACGACCCCGCTCCCGTCCATCCGCTCGCACAGAGAGCCCGGGCCCCCGGAGCAGCTGAAGCACAAGCGACTGGTGTTGCCGACGACGGAGCCGTACTCGGGACGGTAGGACACGAAGACCATGGCCGCCAGCAGCACCACGAGCAGCCCGATCACAGCGATCGCGAACGCGAACGAAAATGCCGGACTCCTGAACGAAGCGCACATCAGCCACGCTTTCGCGTTTCAGAGGTTATGTCCATTTCCAAGCTCATGTGCCGGATCCGATCATATGATAACAGTGCTGCCATTTCATTTTCACATAGATTTCCGGGTTCTCGAAATTGATTCCGATTCTCGAAAATTCCGAGAAAAATCTTTTTTTTTATTTTTGCAGGTTGTTTGGCCTCTATTCCAGTTTAGGAATCTGCAGGCATCTATAGACAAGAGTTTAACGTAGAGATTATTTTTTATTGTCAGTAGACATCAGGGAATTTTTGTCGCATCCGTGCTCCAGCTTTCAAATTGTCAGGGATTAAGGCCGAGTAGAATCTGTTTCTGCAGATCCACTCGTCAGCTCAGTAAAAATTTGTCGCCACCACTGGGATTCGAGCCCGGAGCCTATTGCGGTCTAGAGTCAGACGCGCTGACCGCTGGGTGCTGGGTGCTGGGTGCAGACGTGCAGAGTGCGCAAGCTCTCTCTCTCCAAAAAAAAAAAATACATGGAAACTGATATACGGATTTTTGTGCAAATTTCATTGAATTTTTTTTAAAAAAAAAAAAAAAAAAAAAAAAAAAAAAACATCAAATTTGATACAAAAAATCGGTGAAACTGTCGAAAACCTCCGAAGTTCTGAGAAAATTCCGAAATTAGCTAGAAATTCTGGAGATTCCTAGGGAAGTTCCGATAAATCGTCACTCCTCTGGCGTAAGGGCGTATCTCGATTCCCGCATGAGCCCTAGAAAGCTTGGATCTACATGTAAAACAGGGCTCACGCAGAGATTGAGATACGGCCTTACGTCTGAGTGGCGACGACGATAGCAAAAGTTCCAAAATTCGGAAGTAATACCGAGAAATGACATCACTGTACGATAAGGACTAGAGTACCTATACATATAGGGAAAGTACGGATATGTCCGTAATTTTGAGGTTAGATTATAAAACTTTTAGGGCCCAATAGGGCATGCCAAACTGAATTCAAATTATCCAGAGTGATTCGTCACTGAAGTTGGACCGCGTCCAGCAGAAAGGAACCAAGCTATTACAGCTATTGCTGAATTTAACTGGGCAATGTAATTTTTTACAGGAGAAAACATATGTGGATTCCTTTGAAATTTTTGAGGAATTTGACTCGTACTTCGCAGAAAATTCAATGAAATTTGCACAAAAATCCGTATATCAGTTTCCATGTACAAAATTAAATACTGCCCAGTTAACCTTGGCAATAGCTGAGATGGAATTGTCGTTCAATCGGCAGGCAAGATATGAACCTGGTCGCCCTGAGAAAAACACGAGTCCTCTCGGGAAGTTTCGAAATAAGGACTTAACTTCGAAAACTCCGTCGTAATTTTACTAAAATTTTAGATTTGGGCACAGCTCCTCGAATAATTCGTTCTAAATTTGGTCGAATTGTGTAAAACGTGCAATCACGCATAAAACCATGGAAACCACCGACTTACGGCCCATTTTCCTCCTGGCCTAACTTTTGCTCCTATAATAATTGGACGTATTTCTACCAAACGGAACTATGTGCATTAACACATGAGCCCTGAGACCCATAAGCATATGTGCATAACACGGCCCACGACATAGTGCAGATAGTTCCGTTTGATAGAAATACGCCCAATGGACCAATAGACAAGGTACGAATTTCAGCATTCTGATACATGTTTCTTAACCAAAATTTCACGTAGAACACGATACGCACAACGAAAATTACCGAAATCAACTCTTTACGAAGATATTCAATGATTCTTGATGCGTGAATTCAAACCACCCGCTCATGAAAACTCAATGTTCTATGTGATTCACATCGCGCGCTAAACGTTTATCATGAGAGTCTCTGCGATATAAAAATCTGGCAACCTCAATCTTGACGCTTTGGCTCAGCTACAACAAATTGCTTAAAGTTTAAACAACACATGATGGGAAATGAACATTGCTCGATAGAGAAGATTGCCGAAACCGTTGTAGTGCGCGATTTGACTCACGCAGAGCTTTGAGTTTGTTGTGAGCAGGCAGTTTAAATTTCTCGTAACCAATGTGAAATAAAAACGTTAATATCTTCGTTAGGGGTGGGTTTTAGTAATTTTCATTGCGCGAGTCGTGTTCTACGAGAAATTTTAGTTGAGAAACATGTATCAGAATGCTTAAATTCGTACCTTGTCTAGTGGTCCATTAGGATACGACTTACGAGACTCGCGTTAGGGGCAAAAATAGAGATGTATATCGGTCAGGCGGATTTTTGCGATCAAATATGAAAAACAAGCCCAATCAGTCAAAGGCGTCCCCACACCCCCATGCGTGGGGGTTCCACATTTGTTCGACCTCAGCTGGGTGGGGAATTGGGAGGAAATGTCCACAGTAAGAGGATATTGTTAAATGTTTTCTTTGCCGCGAATGCGAATTTGTTGCGGAAAATGCGTTTTACGTGCGAAAACAATGCGCCTTCAGCTGCGTCTGCAGCAATTGTTGTTACGAATGTGTTGTGCGTGCTGATTTTAGGTCATTACATACTCAACGCTCTGAAGGCGTTCTGTGTGCGCAAGTAGTGCATTCTGTTGGAGAACGAATAAAGTATGGTTTTTCAATTTCACTTCTACTGTTCTCCGACAGGGTGCGCAATACTTTCGGACATATAACGCCTTCAAAGAGTCAAGTATGTATTAAGCTGAAATCAGCACGCACAACATAACCGTAACAGCCATTGCTGCGGACGCAGCTGAAGGCGAATTGAAAACAACCGTATAAAATACCGTTGAAAAACATTTTATCTTTTTAATTAATATTGTTACCAATATAGAGAGTTGTATTTTATGGTCTTTTTATTGGAGATTTTCGAAAAACTTTTAACGATAAACTGAGTTAAAATGCAAAATAAAAGAAACTGATCTGCAAATTTTCAGTCTTGACGGAAAGTTGAGCCTAAACTTTCAAGGAAATTTCCATGGTTCTTCTTGACTTCCATCTTGCCTTCTATACTTGTATGTTTCTGCAGACCAGCTGTTGTTTCACTGATTACTGACATGTAAGCATAACAAGATAAAGTTGAGGTGATCGGTCTTCGTACCTCTATTTTTGTTTCATTCTTATTACTCTTTCCTTTTTCTTTTTATTTACTTGCAAATCGACGGCGTAAGTCCGCAAACACATACCTCGTTTGCGGTGTCTGAAAATCTCCGCCTCTATGTTATTTTTTTAAAGGAGAAAAAATTGGCATCATTCCTTGAAGTTTATGCAGAATTTTCTTCGCACAGAGAAGAAAAATCACGTCAGTTTTAAATAATTGCTGTTGAGTAGTTTTCCGTTTAAAAAATCAAGTATGACAAGAAATCTGCGATGTCGCAAACCAAGTTATGTGATTGCCGACTTACATCGTCGAAATATACTTAAAACAATAAAGGATTGAGATAGGTTAAAATAAACTATGAACTATTTTAAATTTCTTTGATAAATCTTTATTTTAGCAATACATTTCTTAACACCTAAAATAAAAAAAACAAATGAACATGACAGATGATAATTAAGCTCATCATAAAATTACACAAATTCCAAAAATTAATAAAAAAGAATATTGAGAGTAAAAATTATGTCAACAAATATATGATAATACTTCAAAGATCTAACTCCTTCTTACCTCCAGATGGAATGCACAAGCAGGTAATGTTTTAATTTCTGATGTTACAACACAATGGATTCCAAGGTTAGCCAAAGCACCTCTGAGGAGACCACAGGTAAAAGTGACATACTAAGGGAAGAAATGAAAAAAAAAATGGGAAAAAAAAATTAGTTTCACTTTGATTCGACAAAACAGGAGACAGCTGTGAAAATGTCATGTTTTTCTAGCCAACAAACATGGACCAAACCACAAAAAGGAGGGGAGGATTCCCAACTTCCAACTTCATTGAAATTCATTCCGATGATTCACTTTGAAGACACTTCGAACCCTATGCGGATCCAGACGGGGGGGGGGGGGGGGGGGGGAGGGTAAAAGATGATGGGCTTACCCCAGAACATTTTCGAAATTTTAGAGCATCTAATAAGCAGTTTGAATCAATTTCGTCATGAATCATTACCAAATACAGGCGCCCTTCCTTCCTCTTTTCTCCATTCTCCCTTCTCTCTCTTTCACCTTTTTCTTCCTCCATTTTCTGGCGAACGAGGGGGGGTGGGGGTTAAACGCACGCCCCCCACCCCCTTGGATCCGCCTTTGCTCCCTAGCGGCCTCCTTCCGATGCTGTAACACGTCATCTCACCGTTTAAGATTCAGTTACACGATCAAATTGAGCCATCAAACTGAAGCTCTGATTGGTGGAAAAAGACCTGAGGTGAGGATGCGACCAATGAGAGGCCCAATTTGATGGCTCAATTTGATCGTGTAACTGGACCTTTAAATATTCCTGTGACCTGCATGGATATTGAAGTCTTTCCGACTCATACACCAGAGTAGATTTCTTAAATGATGGAGAGGTCCACGAGGGATGAAAACTGACCATGCCGGAAGAAGGGCATGGGACATACCTCGAAATACACTCTTTTATAATTTTGTTCATTTTCCCCGAATCAATATCATTATATTGCATTTTTTTTCGAGATTTTTTTTACCTACGCCCTTTTTCCAGCATCGTCCTTAATTGAAGACTTAATAAACTTACCCTGGGAGCCACTTCCAAGTACTGGTTACCGGAGGACATTTTTGAAATCAGCCGGAAATTATTATCCAGCAGAACATAAACCCCAGCATGGTTTGTCCGAAGATTATCTATTTGTTTCTTGAAAATGGACGACCAAAAATCAGTACACATGAATTTTAATGTGTCTAGCTCATCTTTGAATCGCGGCCAATCTTTCGTGAGCCTGAAATCGTCAAAGAGTATTTTGTTATACGTACGCAAAAAGTTTTCGAAACTACCTCTGGCAACCACTTGACATGTAAGGTTCTTTCGAGAGGCATCCCTGGTAAAAATTGGCGATAGGAGCTGCGTTTCAAAATACCATAGGAGTTCTTACAGCGGACTGAAGAAGGCGATAGAAAATCATATAGCTGGCTGTAGAAAGTGGAAAAAAATCATATGGCCGGGCTACACTAAGCGATAAAAAATTATACAGCCGGGCTATATAGTTCCTATCGCCGGGCTTTACACTTTATCGCCTGGCTGTTGCTTTTTCGCCATCGGCTGAAAAAGGCTATAAGAAATTGTGTAGAAATGCGTGTACTTTGTAAATCCTTAAGTTTGTACGGAATTACATTAATATTTACAAAACGCATACTTATTTTCCTTTACTACGTATATATTTTTTCATCAATTAAAATGAGAATAATCCATACAGAGTGTGCAAACATTTCAAAGTTATGAGTTGAAAAACGCTGACTCCACGAGATTAAATATTAGAGCCTAACACGAAGCGGAGCGGCGGCGCACTGGCGCCTACAAACCTAACAGGGATACTTCACGCATTGCGCAATGCCTGGAGTACACCTGTTAGGTTTGTAGGCGCCAATGCGCGTTTCGCGCGCTGGCTGCCAGCCCGCCGCGCCGGCCGTGCCGCAGCCTACCACGGCGCCTGAAACAACTATTTCACACCAGAGGTATTGCACAGCATCATACAAAATTGAAGGCGCTCCAACATATTAGGAATGGCAGGCATCCTTCAAAAGTGCGGAGCTTCTCTCGCAAAATAAATCAAGATACTACGGCCCAAAAAGAGAGCGGTATTCCAAAAACTCACTAAGCTCTAGCATCCGTAATTAGTAACGTTTAGCATACATTTTATCGCCAGGCTGTTGCTTAATCGTTATCTGCTATAAAAGGCTATAAGAAATTGTGTTGCCGGCTATAGGAGCTATTGGAAATCTTACAGCCCGCTGTAGGTCTATGGTATTTTGGAACACAGACTCTACTGCCAATTTTTACCAGGGATTCTAGATTTCACATTTCAAAAATTAGTTCAGGCAGAATTTCAGGTAAAAACAAATATAGTTACAAAAGACAAGTGGAATACCTAGTCTAGACGCCATTGGAAATAACTGACTGATCTTTAAAATCGAAAGTTTTAACTGATAAGATGAGAAGAGGCCGAAAAGGCTGTTATTTCGACTCACAGATGCAAAAGAGAATATAACGGCGCGGCGTCGCCTTGCTTGCATAAGTCGCAGGCAATTAGCAATCGCCGGCAAATTGCAATCTATTCGTGTTGAATCAACAAATTAAAACAAAAAATTGAAGTGAAAAAACGAGAAAGGAAGAAGTGATTATTATGCTTTGAATTCAAACGTACGTTATCCCCTTTTTCTTGAATGCATGGTACCAGCTAGCACACTCGCAAGTTCGTGATATGTAATTAATAATCTGCGTTGGGTTTGGTTTGGTTAAGCAGCTAAACTAACTCCCTGGCAAAGCGGAGAGTATTGCTGGATTTGAAGGCGTTCCAAGCTGAGGTCGTGCCTTGAATTCCTTCGCTTAAGAAACCCTTACTACATCGATGTTTTTGTAAATGCAATTCGACGAATTGGCAAGTACGGGGCTTGCTAATTGCCGGCAATTGCTGACTGTCTGCGACCCACATACTTAATTAAAAAATAAGGTGAAGAGTACAATGATGAATACCTTTCAATGATCCTGTATCCGCAGCAAAATCCAAGGTACTCAAGGGTGGAAACGTCATGATCACCCTGGGAAAGGGAAGAGAAGATTAATGTTCATGAAGAAGAAAAAAACTGAAATATTGACCTGAATAGTGTAAGTATAAGAGAATGGTAATATTGCTGGATCTACACTATTTAGCAGGGAAATCAAAGCCACGAAAACCAAAAATTAGAACTAGAGCTACAAAATTAATTTTAATGAGTTTCAGGGCAAGACTTGAGGAGGAGAGTAGCTCGAATCACACGGACGCATTGGAATACTAAGCCACGGCCCAGCTGAACTCTCCTCCTTATTACACTGTGGATACTATTTCCACTATGTCACTTAGTTTGATACTCAGCAGGGATCCAGAGAGTTTTTTGCCTCAACAATTTTTGAGACAGCCTTCACATATTTTAAGACTGCCTTCACATTGCTGTATGTACACATAACTGCGCACTTCAAAGCCTCACACATCTTTGCATTAAACGCAAAGTTAACAGTTTCCTTCTCTGCACTGCAACTAATGCGCGTCAAACTTAGATCAAATCTCAACCACCAACCCTCAATGGCGCGACGTTCAAATCGCCTCAAAACTATAGGGCCACACGCTATTTTGTTCCTAACTCTTTTCTCATTTTCCCCATATTTAGAGTAAGCATAAATATCTCGATTTCAATGATTCAGAAAATCGCACTGTGTTAATTATCTTTCAATTAAAAAGAAAAAAAAAAGAACGAGCCACAATAACGCGTCGAAACTGTGTTTTTATTTGAGAGCATTTGGGAAAATTCTCAGAAACTTTTCAGAAAAACTGTGTGTTGCTTTTTAAAAAAGGTTGATTAAAAATAAAACAGAAGCGGAGTTGTGCAACGTTGCAATCAGAGATAGAAGATGCTAAAAGAGCTAAAGGGTGCATGCTAAAGGAGGCGTCGCAAGGTTTGCAACGTTGCAATCAAGGTAAATATAAGCTCCTTTTCAAGTGGAACCATCGATATTTGAAATCATTTACGGCAGGCGTGACAAACAACTATTTGACCACGGCTGTGAGCATGTTGCACTTCCGCCGGATTGAAGGCGCGTCAAACTGCGAAGATGTCTGAACCGCAATGCCGACCCTCGCGGGCAGGACGAACGCTAAAATCGCTGCGACACTTAAACGATGCGTCATTATTTATGACTCCAGTGTAATTTTCACCATAAAAAAACAAGAAACCCATCCTAATACCTACGATTGAGAATCTGGGACCATGCTTTTCTTTCGGTAAATAGGATAAAAGGAAAATAGGACTAAATATAATATCGCGACGAAATTTCCCGTGATTTCAACTGAAATTCGATCGGAAAATTATTGTAAATTTTTCAGAGAATCTGTGCGTATCTTTTGAAAAATACTGATTGAAATTGAAGCATTAACTGCGGGTTGTAACGTTGCAATCGAGGCAAATAAGCTCCTTTTCGCGTAGAACGATGGATATCTGAGTTCGTTTACGGCAGGCGTGACATACAACTATTTGACCTCGGCTGTGAGCATGTTGCAGCTCCGCCGGATTGAAGGCGCCTCAAACTGCGAAGATGTCTGAACCGCAATGCCGACCCTTGCGGGCAGGACGAACGCTGAAATCGCTGCGACACTTACACGATGCGTCATTATTTATGACTCCAGTGTAATTTTCACCATAAAAAACAAGAAAAACCATCCTAATACCTACGATTGAGAATCTGGGACCATGGTTTTCTTTCAGTAAAAAGGAAAAAAGGAAAATAGGACTAAGGAAAATATCGCAACGAAAAATCCCGTGATTTCAATTAAAATGGTTCGTAAACAGGTTGTAAATTTTTCAGAGAATTCGTGCGTATCTTTTGAAAAATACTGATTGAAATTGAAGCAATAACTGCTGGTTGCAACGTTGCAATCGAGGTAAATAAGCTCCTTTTCGCGTAGAACCATGGATATTTAAGTTCGTTTACGGCAGGCGTGACATACAACTATTTGACCACGGCTGTAAGCATGTTGCAGCTCCGCCGGATTGAAGGCGCTTCAAACTGGTAAGATGTCTTGTCGGCCCTGCCAACCCTGGCGGGCGGGACAAAGGCTAAAGTCGCTGCATCCATGGGACGACGCGTCATTATTTATGACACCCTTATAATTTTAACAATACAAAACAAAGAAAAAGTATCCTAAAAGCTACGATTTATAACCAGGAGCTGTGGTTTTTATCGGTAAAAAAAAAAAAAAGGAAAATAGGACTAAATATAATATCACGACGAAATTTTCCATTAATTCAATTAAAATCGTTCTGAAAATTCTTGTAAATTCTTCAGAGAATCTCTGCGCCGACTTTTAAAAAATATTCATTGAAATTGAAGCATTAACAATGGTTTGCAACGTTGCAATCGAGGTAAATACGCTCCTTTTCGCGTGGAACCATCGATATTTGAGTTCGTTTACGGCAGGCGTGACATACGACTATTCGACCACGGATGTAAGCATGTTGCAGCTTCGCCGGATTGAAGGCGGATCAAACTGCGAAGATGTCTGAACCGCCATGCTGACCCTCGCGGGCAGGACGAACGCTAAAATCGCTGCGACACTTACACGATGCGTCATTATTTATGACTCCAGTGTAATTTTCACCATAAAAAACAAAAATAACCATCCTGATACCTACGATTTAGAATCTGGGACCATGATTTTCTTTTGACAAATAGGAAAAAAGGAGAAAAGGACTAAGTAAAATATCGCGACGAAAAATCCCGTGATTTCAATTAAAATGGTTCGTAATCTTATAGTTTTTTATTTCATTCCTTATAAATGGAGGACCTTGTCCACACAGAGATAGGTTTAAGTACGGAACTTAACTTTCTCGTCAAGTTCCGTGAAATTTTGCTAGTAGTGTTGACAGGGCTTTCGCAAAAAATTTATCCAACAAGAGTAGGTAAATACTTCTTATGCACCCCTCCCCCTCCGGCACGTTCACTTGATGGTTTTTATTGATGTTTCAAAACCAATGGGGAGGGGGCGGCGAAATACAGGCGGCCCATGGGTGGCAAGTAGGTAAATCAGGCCCTGTTTTTCGGTAAAAATTTTGAAAACACTTCCACAATATTTGGGCCAAAAATGTGGAAACCCTTCCACATCTTGTGGGAAATAGTGGAAGTTCTTCTACATTATGTGGCGACTGTTCTACGTTTTATAAAAACCCTTGCACAATAGTTCAGTAAAATTTATAGAAACCCTTCCACATTACTGCGATAAAAATTGTGGAAATCCTTCCACAAAACCTAGGTAAAAAATGTGAGAACTGTTTTCCATGTCTCGAATATTTTGGTGAAAAACCCTTCCACACTGTTTCGAAACATAATAGACGCTATTAAGGGCGCGTCACCATGGGGATTCTCCATAATATCGAATTGGATCCAAACAATAACATTAACATAACCTCTTTCAATGCTACCAATGCAAAAAAAAGAAATATAAGTATATCGCTTTACTGTGATGTGGCACTAATAGCGTCCATAAAACATGGGATTTGAAGAAAAGAAAGAGAAAATAGAAGAAAGAGCTTCCTCAATATCTAGGCCGCTTCCACGATTTCATAAGAAAATTTTAATCGCGTGATCGTGCTTTCGTAATATTGACAAGGGCTTCCACAATTTCAAACGAAAAATTTTCGCCTGATCTACTTGGAATAATGTGCACCCCTGTGGTTGACAATATAACTTCGCAGTCAATTCTCTAAGTACTTAACCGACGCTTTGCGTCACTTTCCTACAACAGCTCATATTTCTGAAATGGTTGGACAGCTGATTTGATTTAGACTAGATTCTAAGTGGGTTTCAGAAAGTAAAATTTAATACAGTTATTCATACCTTAGATGAAGATGCAACATAGTTGACCAACTCAGCATGAATGAACTCAAAAAGACAGTCATCAGCTATTGGCACGGCAGGCATCTTGAGCAGAGAACCTTTCAAAGTGACAAAGATGTTAGGATTTACTTGTTTTCAGATTTGGGGGATTGGTAGAGTGTCTAAAACTAATTATTTACTGCGATTGAAAGCGGAGAGAGAGGATAAACTCATTTTATTTCATCAATTCAATTACTATCACAACGTATATCACAACATAAACTGACTACTAACATTTGTTTTGTTTACTGATAAGATATCGCTATGTTGCCGGATTTTTAGATATTTTTTAAATTTTTCTCGTAACTTTGGTACAAACTTCCATGAAATTTTCAGGAATTAATTTTTATGACTGAAAAAATATAAGTTCAAGTTGCGCGTAATTTTGTTCGTTATTTTCCCGTAAAAAATCTGACGAGTTTGAAAAAATTGGCAACATACCACCGAGTGTTGACTGTTGAGGGTTTGAGGTTAAGTTGTGTTTTGTGTTGGTGTTGTGTTGATAGTTTTATTTGCAAATTATGGCTGCGCAGCGGCGGCGAATGCTGTGTCTAATATCGACGTCCAAACTTTTCTTCTGTCGTTCTTTTCAGGTCAAATAAATGTGAAAAGCAATTTTTGAATACTTGCTTAAGTAATTGTGGCTCATTTTTTATCAGTGCTCTTTTCTGACTCCTCGGGATACTCGTGCTACCCGTCCTGAAAATCGTGTGTTTCTTCATGCCTTTGAGTTCCTTCAGGGTTTGAATGCCAGCTTTTTTCAAACACTAAGCTGTCTGAACCTCCGTGTTTTACTATCACGTTTTACGCTTACTGTTCATTTTCGCTCAAAACGGCTGACCATTCATCTTACTGCCAGCTGCAGCTCACTTGAACTGAAGTCTTGTCGTAACACCTTACTATTTCTGCACGGCTGGACCCACCCCAGTTCTCTCCTGAATCTTGACCAAAACATTCTTTTTACAACTGACTTTTGTAACCAATACTTAGTTCAACTGTTTTTTTATTTTGTATCTGATCAATTCGATGCAATGACTGACCCAGCAGGAGCTCCCACCAGTGCTACCAGATTCCGCATCAGTGATGGAGATTGGGTTTGCAGTGATTCACAGTGAGTTATATTCACCTTCTCTCCCCGTTTCTCTAATCTTTTATGTACGAAGTAGGAGCTAAAGGGCTTTCTATCAGGGGAATTTGATCTGGATAGATGATGAGTTCATGTTAGGGTCCGTGCCAAGTAAATTTTGCCCACTTTTAGACAAAGACAGAAGATTGACATCAGTTTAGCAGTGAAAATAAATGAAAAAATCACCATGACAAATCTTTTGCTGCAGTCTAAAATTGCATCAATCTTTTTGACAAGGACTCTAGGTGGATGGTTAGGATTAGAAATGTGGTTGAACTTTGACTAAATGCTGTCAGTCGCCAATTAAGTAAGCAAGCATAGGTACATTCCATTAATTTGTCATTGCTGAAAGATTGCACTTTGATAAACATGGGGACAACCGATCTATGTGTCCTCCTAATCTGAAGTCTGTGGATAGGAGACTAAGTAAATGGTAGATCTGGGAAAAGAAAGGAATAGTCAAATCAATGTGGATACATCATTCAGGAGTTTGCCATTGGCCACCGTAAAAATTTACATTGAATGTTGCTGTTTTCCGATGGTGCATTTGCCAAATTGTCTTTTCCCAGTTCTTAGTAGCTGAAGTATCTGTTCATTTGGATTTTCCTCAAGCTTCAAGGAGGTAATTTAGGACTGTCGTTTATCCATTTGAACCTTTTGCTAGTTTGTCTGACAGTCTAGTTAGCAATGCAATTGTATTGCTAATTTTTACTGATATATAATATAGGATCTTCTTTGCTCTTTCTGAGCCATCTTCCAGGAAAATTTGAAGGAAATCTATAGGAGCTTTTGACCGCATAATCAGGATAAAAAAATACTGCATCATGAAACCTCCTAAAGAATACCTAAGTAATCAAGAGCTTAGAAAACTAGTCGATGAAAAGACATTCTTTTAATTGTGGCAATACTTTTGCCACCTGAAGACCTTTTTAGGAAGTTTAATTTTTCAAAAATAGCAAAAAATGAGAAGTAGAGGTCTGCTCAAAATTTTCAAATGGCAACTCTTATCTTTAGTCTCATCTGTCCAAGCACAATATCAGAAAAGATATTGCTGGCTCAAAATGCAAGTCATCCCCTTATAAATAGCAAAATGAATTAAAGAATTTTAGAATATTTATTATTTTGAAAACTTCTATGAACAATTCATTAAATTAAATTATGAAGCAAAATAATCTGAACTGTATGATACTTACCCTGCATTTTTTCTCTTTTTTTCCAGATGTGGCAACATCAATTTTGCGAGAAGAAGCGCCTGCAATCGATGCAACAAAGGTATTACCCATTGTCTTGCAACTTATGTTTTGTTGCAGAATTTGAAATTGATGGTTAAGTGAAGTTGAAAAATGGGTATTTTAATTGCGAAGGAAAACAAATCGAAGTATCACCCTCAGGCTGTCAGGGAATAACTTTGAATAAGTTTAAAATGCTCCTTGAAAATTTTAATAAGAATTTTTGTTAGAATTTTCCTTAAAAAAAATGAAAAATAACTCAAATAAAACTTGAAAAGCTTTAGAACTTGTGACTTTCTTTCTTAACTTTGGTGTCGAAATGCCCTTTGGCATTGGTGAGATATCCTAATTCTGTCAAAAGACTTGTGACAGTCCTTTAAATAAAACGTTTGGAAAAGACTGCCTCAAAAAAGTAAACTAGTTAATGAACACCATCAGTGTCCTTTATTCTCAATACCTTTAAAACAGGAATCAGCAAGTTTTGAGATCCATCTCATATTTGTTTCAAAATTGTACACAAATCATAACTTCAATTAGACAAAAACATCATAAATGCCCGCCTGGTCAATTTTTATTGGTTTTAAAGATGAAACAATCGTCTTTTTTTTAAATTGTTTCCTCCTAATGCATAGAAATTAAGCTATTACTGCAGGAAAAATCTTGCGATTAGCCCAGGAGTCTGAAAAATCAAGGGAAGAATGAAAAATATTTTTCTTCCTCAACATGAGACCAATTTATTGCATTTCACCCCAATTGATAGAAAAACGCTTTTTTTTCGGTCATGTAAAGAAGGTCTAAGAGATTCAGTTGGCTGACAGTACCTACTTAATGCGAGATCAAGTGTGCCTCAGACTGTGTCTTACCAAGTCCTCATGGCAGAAGCTTTTCTGGAAATTTACTACTCAACAGGAGGACACTTCTTTCAGTTTCTGAGGCCTAGTTTTGTCAACATTACTATGACCCAGTTGTTGGTAGATTTTTTTCTCCTGTTTTTTTTTTTCTTTGTATTTTTAATAATCCAATATTTGATACCTCACAGAGAAGGCAGATGGAGTTGCATCGAAGAAAAAGTTGGGACACGAAATAGGAAAAGCTGCAGCAGAAAAAAGTCGTGGTCTTTTCAGTGCTGATGATTGGCAGTGTAACAAGTGAGTCTCCTCTTATTTAAACCTGACTACACTATCAAACACTCTGCCTTATGAAATGAAAAATCTCTAAGCATCAATTTTGGATAAGTACACCCAAGTGCCAGAGATGGAGCAGTAATTTTCCACTGGAACATATTACAAGTCCAGAAACTTTAGAAGAAGTTGGTTGTCTTTTTACTTTCTCGCTGCCCTTACGGGTAGAGGAAGCATTGTCGTCCAAAAAAAAAGTTAATTTTTTTTTTTTTTTTCGTTTAAAATCAGAGGAAAAGTGTGGAAAATTGCCTCAAATCTGGAATAATATTTTGATTACGAAAGGTTTGATTATACGGATTGTCTCCAAAGAAGTGCAAGAGAAATATTTTAATTTTAAATGACATTTTTCTTTGTCGTGATGAAATATTAGGTAACAACAGTGCGTTTTCATATTATGTAAGTTAGTTAAACATCACCTTCACAGTTGAATCATCATCTCCTATTTCCAGGTGCGGCAATGTCAACTGGGCACGAAGGCAACAGTGTAACATGTGTAATGCTCCAAAATATGGAGAAGTTGAAGAACGGACTGGCTACGGTGGTGGTTATAATGATAGAGGAGTTGTAGAATACAAAGAACGAGCTGACTCGGATGATGAGTATGATGAGGTGAGAGATTTGATGTCGGCACTCTCTTTTTTTCCAGTACATAAATGCAGCAAAGTCAGGTAAAAAGGTCGCAATGTGAAAAGGTTAAATGCGCCCATTGCAAACCTTTGCTTGATCGGAAATAAGTATACTTATTATCAGTTTAAAATTAACTAAATAAATTCACCAGTTTCAATGGAAAATGGGCAAAATGGCTCAAAAGTCACAATAAGCAGTAGGAATCTGAAATTCATTCATAATTTAACAATACGTGCAAGAAATGTGCATATTTTCGAGCTTCTTGTCTCAAAAAGGATACTACAGCAAAGATCCTATTTAAAATACAGGAGTCATCTCAATTTGACAACTCTGCATCGTATCGAATGGCCAAGCATATTTCCAGGCAATCAAAGATTATGAAAATTACTGCCAGTTACTTTTTAAACTTGAAATTGTATTGAAATGTATGATATCAAAACATTTTGAATCATTTAGTTTGTTCCACACATAAAACTTTGTTTTGTTTATACTGGTGACGCATCAAGCAGTGTCATGGTGGGAGCCATTATGTAGATACCTACTGCGCCATTGTTGAGTCGAGATGACTCCTCTGTTACATTAGATCTTTTCCACCGTTTCCTGCCTTTTCAAAGCAGGAATAAGCTCGAAAATGTGCATATCTCTTATGCTGATTGTGAATTCATGAGTGAATTTCACACTTTCTCAATTTGCTCATCGTGATTTTTGAGCCATTTTTCACAAAAAACAAATTTTACTTTTGCTTTAGTAAAAGTTTGCAACTGGCCCATTGGACTGATCCATATTTGACTGCTGACAGAGATGGGTTAATAATAAGTATTCTGTAGGTATGAGGATGAAAACGAAATCCAGAAAAATTCCTAAAATAGTGTACTTTTCCTTCTAAGAACACTTTGCAAATGAAGCTACTCAAAGATTTTTCTTAATTTCATCACCAAAATTGAAGCAAGTCTTGCTGCTGCATTGGTACTCGTTACTCAGAGAAACAACATGAAATTCTGATTAAGGTTCCATCATATTGTATTCATCTTAGCTAATAGTTTAAATTTTATACTAAAAGTATACATGAACCATTCATTCCTGAAAAGGTTCAGAGGTTTTCGAAAAATATAATAGTTGAAGAAAATCAATGCTCATCAATTTATTTATTTATTATCATTTTATATTTCCTATTAAAAGTATAACTCTACTTTTATTTCTGGGGAAGGTCCAAATATGAATCATGTGTAAGTAACAAAAATTATAATGGCTGAAGAAAATTAATGCTCTTGAGTTTTTGGGGCAAAATTTCTTTAAAAATGAAATTTTCTGTTGAAAGCTAATTTCACTTTTCAGTTTGGGCGGAGGAAGAAAAAAAGAAGCTCCCGCCATTCAGAAGGAAGTATGAATGGTGAAGATGAAATTAGAAGCAGCAGTAGCAAAATTAGCAAGAATGGAAATAATGACATTGTCAAAAAATCCAAAGCAGAGGAAGAGGAAGAAGAGGAGGAGGAAGATGAAGAAGATGAGGTAATTGTTTTTTTTTAAATTTTTAATTTTTTTTATTTATAGTAAAAGAGGCAACAGGGTGATCAATGAAATTTTTCTCATTTTCCTTGTGCCCTTATAAGATCGAATTAACCTTGTCCCTAACATTAAAAAGTATACTCATCTCAGACAACAAGGAGGTGACATGTGTTGATGTTTAGACTTGTCATGAGACCCAAAATCAATGTGACTAAAGCGCAGACATACGCTAACCAGGTGTTATTTGGATTATGTTTTGCAAAAAGGAACGAAGAGTAATCCAATGTTGCTGGTATTGTGGAAATCATATTCTTTGCAAAAAATCAAATTTACAATGGTAATTTTTGTCTTGAATTCATGATTTATCGGGAGCAAAGATAAATCTTGTCTAGAAGATCAGTTTATATTTGCAAGGTAATAAAAAGTTGCAAAAGCTTGGCAACATTAGAATGCTCATGATTCTTTTTTGCAAAATGCAGTCCATTTAGCGTTACTAAGATGAGGAAAAGTGAGGGAAGTGTGCAACAAATGTACGAAATTCAAAATTTAAAAAAATTAAACCTCTGTCTGTTAATTACAATTAAGAGGATTCTAATGTTGGATTTTAAATGTTCATTTTGCATTTTTCTCAGATTTTGGTACCTAACAGCTATTTTACTCTTCCAGTTGTCAGTCACTTACAGGAAAGGTTTGATCAAAGTCGCACGTTTATAGTAGTGCCGGGGCATGTGTTCGTAAATCACGTCCTGTGTGCTCATTAGTGACACAAGTTGCCACTGAAGTTCATTCTCCTCATTTTTATCTCTAAAACAAGAAAATCTTTGATGAACTCATTGATTTTGAATGGAAGGCTTCAGGAACAAGATGGTTTCCAAATTTGTGGCTAGAAAACTATGATTGTTTTAGAATGGTACAACAATGTAAATGAGGTTACTGTTCACATTATTTTGGTTGTAGAACCCAAAGAAATTTTATAAATAAATGCCTCAACCCACAGATATGTCTCAAAACCAAAATGACGGCCAATTTTGGCTCATTGGGGACAATATATGCCCTCAGACTTTTAGTTTATTTTGCTTAATCTCTTCACTGTGATCATACTCTGTGTGTATTATACTCTAATATTTTACTGAATCTCATTTTTTGCGATTTTAATTGATCTCATTGTTTGTTTTGGTTTTGGAAGTCAAAACTCAACAAAATTGAAGCCTTTTAAAGACTGTATTTCACAATCGGAAATTACCTTTCTGCGATTATTACAATAGTTGCATACCTGAAATTAGTTTTTAAAATCATTCCTGTCTTGTTCAAGCAACTCTGAGTGAAGTCTGACTCCATGCTATCAGAGCTGACAGCATACAAAAAAGTTACTTGTCCACAAAACCCAACGTACTGATAGTGGAGATGTAAATTACAACCAAACCTGTAACACAAAAGATATGCAAAGTAAGATTTTAACAGGCAAAGTAATTAAAAGCAAGGAAAAATCATAATGCACAGGGCTTAAATTCCTTGAGTAAGTTTAAGAATCAACAAGTTATAATTTAGCTTGTGGTTTATTCTCTTTGTACTTAGGAAGAAGATGATGATGACCTCTCAAAATATGACCTCACTGGGTGGGGAGATGAGGATGAAGAGTCTAAAGATAAATCAGACAGTCTAGCATCTAAGAAATCGTCCAGCTCATTTAGGGATAGGTCTCGGTCAAGGTAAGCACTCGCTATTTTCTTCCGTAGGTCAGGGATGTCAGCTTGATTATCAATTGAGTAACGGCTAGAAATTTTTTGGAACTAGTAAATTACTAGAAGGAATCGTAGATCAGCTGGAGTGTCGAGAAAGGATCTTGTTCGGAATGAAAGGATATGTAAAATTATGGGCGTCAAAAACAACATAGTGCATAACATTTTCACAAAACAGCTTGTCTGGTATGGTCATGTGCAACAGATGCTAGATGATAGGTTGCCTAAGAAGGTTCTGGAGTGGGTCTCCCCTGACAGAAAACGAAGAGGATGCCCTGCCAAATCGTTGATTGAGGGAATAAGGCAGGAAATGAGGAGATGCGATCTGCCGGAGGAGCTCTGGTAGGATCACTATCAGTGGCGGTTGGGTGTCGGAGAGCACACAGAAGCGCTATGAGAGCGACTTGTTAATAGTAGCAGGGAATTACTCCCGTGGCTGTTCCGCAGCCTAGCCCCCAGATGCACTTTGCGCCTTTTAAGGCCCACACGATAAGCACCCGTGAGTGAATCTAAATAGAGCGGGCTCATCTAGGTACTATCATTTGTTTAAAGCATCAAAAATTATGGAAATCGGCCCAGTAGAAAGGTATAACGAAATATGTCAAAAACTGAGAAATTAGGTTATCAGAGAGTTAATAGTAATAATGGCACCCAACAAACTGAAATTAGGGAAGAATGTTTCAACTTGTGCAACTTTGTTTTCAACATTCAAGCCATTCTGAGGGTTTTATAGAGCTCCTGTGGCTGTGAGGAGACTTTAAAATGCCATCTAATCACAGCCATTGAAGTGATTCCAACGAGATCGTAATATGAAATAGTGTAATGGGGAAACCCTACTCCTCAGGGAATATTTTATATTCTGAAGATGGAAGGAAATTCCTCATTAGACATTCCAGAGGTTTCTGTATTCCTTCTTAGGGTCTAGTACACTCAATATCACACTTATGGTATCTATGTAGGTGGTTACTTTTGTTCTGGAATTGTAACATGTCTTTCATGTGATAGTCACTTTAAATTTTCCTCCTACTTTCAGCTTCAATTATGAATGATCATTTTTTTCCAGCAGATCTTGATGCAAAATATTATAAAAGAAATCCCTCTGAAGTCTTAAGAACTTAACTTGAAAAAACTGTGTGATTTCTGAATTTCTTTTGTGAATACAAGATTGCCAGTCAGGGAATACAGGCAAAACTGAGAAAAATTTCAGGGAATTTTACAAAGAATCCTGAGAAAACCGGGGAACGTCAGGGAAAAATTGTCAAGCCACCTTCATTTGCTTGCTAGAATGCGTTTGATGATTCAAGTCTACAAATTTTACCTGGGAACTAAGTCCAATTTTGTTTTATTAACCATCTGGCACATCTTCAATGGGCCTGTTGCAAACTTTTGCTAGAGCAAAAATAAGAGTTGTTCCTTATAAATACTGTCTCAAAAATCACGATGAGTGCATCAGCAAACTCTGTAATTCACTCCTAACTTCACAATCTGCGTAAGAAATTTGCATTTTTTTAAGCTTCCCGCTTCAAAAAAGATACCACAGCACATGTGAACATTTCGTTAGAGGAGTCACTCCATTCAATCCCTGCTCAACATGGCTGACGATTCCGCGTACAAGTCAATCAAGGCGGATATCTATTAGTGCAAAAAAAAATGTGAATGTAAATACGCCGATTGTTATCAGGTGGTTAGAATCATCGTCCCACCACATGTGTTTTGGCGGATTGGAGTTGGCTATGTTGAATATTGCGTCGTATCCTTGTGAGCAGGAGTTGGACGGAATGACTCCTCTTACGAAATGTTCACCTGTGGCGTGGTATCATTTTTGAAGCGGGAAGCTCGAAAAAACGCAAATTCCTTATGCAAACTGTGAAGTAAGGAGTGCATTTCAGACTTTGCCAATGCGCTCAGTGTGATTTTTGAGACACTTTCTATAAGTAACAACTCTTATTTTTCTCTAGCAAAAGTTTGCAACAGGCTCATTGTGTGGGAACTTTACTCGAATGTGCCCTGAAAATCAAGGATCTGTCAGGAAATTTCATTGTCTAAATTATATGGCAACCCTCATAATACTGTGAATGAAAGCCTTTCGAAGTCTGTAGAATTTTAAAGTTTTAAAAGAAGAGAAAAAAATCTGTGTGATTTCTGTTGTCCTAATATGTATACGTATCTTTCCTCACAATTTTTTTATCTCCTTTTTTCTGTATAAATATGTATGTATATGTTTTTGAGAATAACCGAGCTCATCTAAATTTTCAGGTCCCCGTTGAATCGGCATTAAAATCATCGCATCCAATTGTGTGTTTATTTACTCATACAGCTGTTAATGCACTCAAGATGGATTCTGCTTCCACTTATTCATTTTTCCAAATGCCTCTAAGCCACAACTTTAAGTCAGAAAATCTTCTTAAATTCTCACATTAGGAAAACTGAAGAATTTTTCTGTAGGGTTTTTTTTTTTTCTATTAAGTTATCATTTGATAAGTTCTTTGTTTTTATCAGCATTTTATGTGTAAAGTCAGTCATAATATTGAAACTGGTGTTTATCTGACTATCTAACGCATTTCATAGAGGATTTGAAGAAAAATAATATTTGTCTTTTTCTCTTATAATTCTCTAAAAGAAAAACGAATCCACATTTACTTTAAGTTTTTGGCTAAACAGGACCTTGAAAGGTGCCATGCAGTTAGAAAACTTAATGAGTATGTAATTAATTTGTGATGGCTTGCAATGCAGGACTTTTCTGATCATCATGATAGCATGTTTCCTGATTTTCTTGCACACATTGCTGTATTTAAATGTGTCTTTATAAGCACTTTAGAGTGAAAGTGAAAAATTGAGTCAATGGAATTCGCAGGAATCTTCATGAGTAATCATTTTTAGCTGTATCCAGCTCCAGTTGTGAGGTATGGAGTGCCGAAAATACAATTTACGTTGATTTTAGGAGGGTTGCAGTATCCTCCAACAGCTTGAAAAAACTGAAATGGAGTAGAGTATTCTTTTTCACTCAAGGGCACTCATACATAAAAAGAGGAAAGTGAAATAATTTCTTTGATGAGTCCTCCAAAATATCGAATGACATTACTCAGCTTCAAATGAAGACGATCTTAAATTCTAGTTTTTCTTACTGCAATGGCCTTTTAATCCAAATTTTGAGTTATTATCTATTGTTTCAGTCATATTTGATTAATATCTCCGTAGAGACTCACTCTGTTTGTCATGAGGTGTGTAGTATTTCATAAATACAAATGTCCTATTCTGCCGCACTGAGGAAACGCTGCATAAACATTCCTGAGTTGCCAATATCCCCCAGTAAAATGTTTATTTATGAGAAGAGTCATGAGTTTTTTTCTGTCAAAATGTTTAGATAATCTAGATCTCAATGCGATTGATATTCTCCGAAAAATCGGAGGGAAAATATTCCCAGGTTTCCTGGAAAATTAGTATTTTATCTAAGAATTTTGGGCAACGTCTAAAAGTTCATACAGCATTCCTCCTTAATACGGCAGTATTGTCTAAAGAGTTTTTGTAATTTTCAAAGCTTATTTTAGGAATATACCTATAATTTGCTTATATTTCCAAATCTCAACAAATTTTGTCCAGTGGCTCCAAATATCTCCTGAAAGCAGATACTTGTTAGAGTGCAATGTGAAAATATCTCTAAAATGTTATGTTGTCAGTTTTCCATGTAGAAATTACTTGGCTTTCAAATTCAGCATTTTGGAATTTATTGGCGCGTTTCAGACTGTATGTGTAACACTATGATGGACATCTGTTACTCAATTCCCTATCAATGAAGATAAACACTGGATATTTATTTGAGTCTACCTTTATTTGATTTTTCTAGTGATCTTTTTTAAACTGAATTCAAGAATATTTCCTTACTCTGAAGAATGCGTAGAGTGCTGCAGATTTTTTAATGTATCCAAATGCTCCAACTCATATTTATGGCTTCCAACAATTCTTTAATACTTTATTACAATTTACATGAGGTCAGATTGATTGATATGACTCAAAGAAGCTACCGGTAAATTTTTTTTTCTCTAAAAGCTGCTATCTAATATGAAAATCAAAAGTTTTTGCGAATGTGACAGTCAGGGAAAATGTGAGAAAAACGAGAAAATGTATTAACGTAGGTACGTACGACAGAAAAGATTTAGGATATTTTTTAGAAGGTTGAAGAATTTCTTCATATGGAGAAAAGACCGTTCTGAGTGATTGAGTGATTGTTGCGCTAGTTGTGTGCCACTTTTTCAAGTCATGGAAAAGTAGTGAAATTTTCAAATCATCAGATTTTTTTTTTTCCTTTCAAGAAAAATAAAGGAAAGTGGAGAAGAATCCAAAGAATTTTAGTTTAGTTCAGTTGCCACCCTAACAATTTAATAAATCATGTAGGTGATAAAAAGAGTGGTCAGTATGTGTGAAAAAGGAGAGAAAAAAAGAAGAAAAATCGATTTCTTCTCAATCACTCGATTTATCAAATTGCACATTTTACCCAAAATTTTAATGAAATTCAAATGTTTGTCAATTTGCCACTGAAATTCAATAGGATCATCCATGGCCTCTGTTGTGTGGGTTCAGTTTAAAATTTATCGGCCCCTCAAATTTGATCGAGTTTTACTGCCATTGCATCGATGAGGATCCGTTTGAATTTAAAAATATAATTTTAAAGATAAATTATTGATTGTATTCGAGGACTTATTGTAGATCTTTTAATGAGATTGTTTCAATTTTTTTTGAGTATTTATGAATAGATATATTTTTTCCTATTCCAAAATTAGTATTAAGTAAGTTTCTCTGCACTTTTTTTTGTTTTTTCTCGCAGTTTGTTCTCTCTTTGTCTTGCGAAAAAGGACTTTCACACATATTTGTGAAATTTAATAATAATGAATGCGTCCTTAGTTTCCATACTTAAATTGTCTACAATCATTTTAATGTGTAAGCCGTGTCCATTAATAAACTGAACAAACCATCACAAGCCAAGAATGATAAACTAAAGTTATACCATCTAGGAGCACCATCAACGCTTGTAGCTCATGAGAGTATTGAATTTTTCTGAAATACTCGTGCAGCATTTGATTGAAGATCTTTTGAACATTGCTTTTTTAATTTTCAATTTAAGCCAAGAAATAATTTAGTGGTTACCTTTTTTCAATTCCATCCTCTAGATAGTACTTTTGCTGATCACTGAGCGTTTTCCCCTCTTAATTATGACCTATGAACCATGATTCGAAGTGATTAACTTCAAATTAAAGTTTGATTTATCTGACAAACCTCAAAAACTGTATGGTAAAAGTAGTCCATCGGTAGTTTTGCTCTTGTATACTTAAAGAAAATGGTTTGAAACCATCCTAAATGGAAATGAAAATTTAATTAGTTTCTCAGTCTGTCTGAGTGAACTACTGTGTAGAGGACAGACTGTGCATTTATGAGCTAGGCTAAATAAACCAATGGATACCTGTAAACTTTAGGCAATTCTGTATTTACCTGAGGTACTTTTTCGCCTCCTCAAATTAGAATTAAGGGGCTTGGGGGACAAGGCGCATAAATGCAGTTTTTGCTATTTTGAGAAATATCTGTTTGAAGTTTCGAATCCATATGGCAGGAAGAAAGTTAAAACTGACTTTTTGATGCTTAAAAATTGGATTTTGGGGGTGAATTTTTCACAAAATATTCATTAAGACTAGTTTTACTTGAAATCAATAATTTCTATTTTTTCAAAAACTGCACTTATGAGCCTTTTGTCCTCCAAACCCCTCAATAACATTTCATCAAAAACATCACTTTGTGCTAAATATGTAAAAACAGATGATTATCTTATGAGTGACTTCAATTTTAATTGTTGTTTGTTAGTCTAGATCACTTATCCCATTTTTGCTCTTCAGAAAATGTATTCTAATCGATCCATTTATATCAAGTCACCTTTTCCAAATCACAGAAGTAAAGTCAGAGAAACACCCAGTCATTATTATTTTATTCTTGCTTGTTTGAGTGCTAGTTTGGTCTCATGTACAGCCTGGCATCCTAGCTTTTGCCTAAGACAGTACTCTGCAAATATTGTCGTTATGGCCTTTTTGTTTATTTTGTTACTCTAAAAACAAAGACAAGCTTCCAGAGGACTACTCACAGTGCTAGTGTTTCATTTTACTTGAAATAGGATGAAAATCTACAGCACTGTTTAGCAGACCGAAGTGTAATTCCTCCAGGGTTGCCACAGTTCGGGAACACCAGGAAACTTAAGGGAATTTATAAAAGTCAGGGAAACCCTGGGAAAGTCTAGGAAAATGACAAAAGTGTCAGGGAAAAATCTTAAGTCACCTTTATACGCTCTCTAAAATTGGTTTGACGTTTTGAACAGCAGATTTTGCAAGAAATCTATTTTAAACCATCTGGTATTGCTGACTTATATGAAGTCTAAAAGTGTTCATTGTACAAAATTTCTATTGTGCAAATAAAAAAAAAAAAAAAAAAAAATCTGGTATTGCTCCAATTGTAAGGGAATTTTACCAAAATGTGACAAGAAAATGTCAGGGCATTCCATTTTCTAAATTCTGTGGTAACCCTGTTGTTTGAGTGCTAGCTCGGTCGTATGTATGGATTGAGATCCGCTTTTGCCGAGGGCGCTACTCTGCAAATGCTGTTGTTAAAGTCCTTTAGTTTTCTTTGTTACTTTTAAAACAAAGACAAGCTTCCAGAGGACTTACAGCGCTACTCACAGTGTTTTTGTTTCATTTTTCATAAATCAAGATGGAAACCTACAGCACTGGTTAGCAAATCGGAATGTAATAACCTCCCTTCCACTTGAGTTGTTAATATGTTGCAGTCCTCGGTCTGACTTCCATTCATGTCTTCAAAATTTGTGAAGACAATAAAAAACGCCTGTGATGCTTTTCCTCTAAATTCAGCTTCCTTTAGTTAAGGATTAAAAACCTATTTATGAATGTAAATTTGATGTCTGGTCAGAGTTACCGATTGGTTCCACTATGTGTCCTCATAATTTGGTGACTACTTCCGTGTATAATAGGTTTAAGTTTTATCATTTTGTAGAAAATTCTCATCGTTTTTTTCTGAGCCATACAGCTTTTTGTATAAGTTTCACTTAATAATTAAAGATTAGAACTTTACTCCGATGCTATTCACTTAAAAGTTAAAATACTTAAAAACATGATTTCTCATCACTCCTTTCTGGTTTGACTATTGGAAGGTGTTATAAATCTGTCAAGTCTTTTACATTTGTTCTTTTGTTTTTATTTTTATGAATTTTATCTATCTTAGCTATTTTTTTGATTGATGAAAACTGCTTACTATTGTGAAAAATATCTGTAAGCAATAAAACTCAGATGAAGAGTGTTCGCTTGCATAAAAATGAATTGAAGGGCTTGGAGGACAAAATGCATAACCGCAGTTTCTACTATACAAGAAATACGACTTTTAAGTTTCAAAATTACATGGAGCCTCATGGAAAAAGTAAGTTTAAACTCACATTTTAATACTTAAAAAGTCATATTTCATCAGTGAATATTTTTCAGAACATATTTCAAGACTAGTTTCAGTTGAAACTACTATAGTATATCTCAATTTTTTCAGAAATTGCTCTCATGCGCATCGTCCTCCAAGCATCTCATTAAAAAATAAATCACTGTCTTAGACTGGTCATTGCAGTGCAGATATGCACATCAAATCGTAACTTGTAGAACCATATTCCGTTGACTTTATAAGAGTTTGGTTATTTTTCTAATGTGTTTATTCAGTATTCTCATGTTGCCCTCATACTCATGATCTATTGACCATGTCAAAAATGAAAGATTCTCAATTTAAAACCTTGCGTTAGTATTAGATTGTAATTTGCCTGAATGATGCTATCTTGAATTAGAATTTTAGTTCACAGTGCTTTGTTTAGAGGTATGATACTCCAAGGTCATCAGCATCACTTTCGGTCCGACCAATGTTGCATATGGAAGTGGAAGTTTCGAGTTATTTTCGTATTGCTGATTAAGTCCTCAGAGTTAGAACTAATTCAATAATTGCACATAAATTTGTTCGTTCGTTACCCTTTTAATTTAAGCTCCTGTCAGAATTAAGAAAAAACATTATTTTGAACTGAAGTGCATCACTCTAAAAAGACATAAAATGCTAGCAGTCTCCTCATTCATCATGAATAGAATGATCTGCGGCCTCATTCTCACAATCACTAGTATTTCCTAATGTTTTCTCAAAAGTGCTGTATTCATGAAAATATATAATTCATTTTTTTTTTTTGTGAATCAAGGAATTTTAATTTCATTTGCCCCTATCTTCTCTCTCCCAGTTTTTTCATTGGAGGTAGGAATATCACATTTTTTAATCGCAACAGCCCCTGATAAATTGATTAAACATGATGTAAAAATGGGTATTGGCCGTTGATATCAGTAAGATATCTTGCTGACATCATATTGATGTTCCCTGTCAGTAAGTCACCATACTGATATGATGGGCCAACTTTGCCAGGGAATGCAAGTATGCGTTCCGGTGAATTCAAGCTGAGAGGACACAGCCAATTTGTTGCAGTGGCGAGGCGTGAATGATCGATTATCAATACCTGTTTTCCCATTTGAAGCTTTGGTAAAATATCGATTTTTAAAGTGTTCGTTGAAAAACACCCTGTTTATCGATCCTTTTCCACAGGTTTAAATGGCAGATCAATCTGTATGTCGCATAGCATGCCACACCATTGGTTTGATGCATTTTTAAACATTTCAGTTTTTGTTCTTATTGTTTCTACTTCTTCATGAAAGGGTCCTATTTATATAGAGAAAGATAAGTTGCAAAGCACGAATTTAGATGTTTAAAACAATGCAGGATTCACATTGAAGTCACATGAAGTTAGCTTTCTTCTCAGATATGCTTATTAGGTTCCCCAAATAAAGGAGGGAAAACTTGACCAACAATAAATATAACTAAACTTTCTGAAGCCAATATGCATCCTCTCGCACGAGGGATACAGGATGACCCAGACCTACTGTAGGTACCAGGTTTTTTTCTCGGTTATATCCAGTGGGACGAATAGGAAATCGATTCTAAGGAGTCCGAATTTCATAGTTCAGGAGTTCCCCCGGTCTCCCTTGGAATTAAAACGAAGGTCCCATTTCTCAATTCAGAGTTTATGTCAAAATTTTGAAATTATATATCATTGGAATTAGAGAGCACGGATAGTTATGACCAAAATCGACATCAAGAAATCCAAAATTGGCCCATCCTTGTCCGAAATAATGACTCCTAAAGGTGGGGAATAGAGCCCCCCCCCCCC